TTCCAACTTTCAGATTAATAGATAGCCTCATAACTGAAACTCAAAGGAAGCCCAAAGAAAGCCAACTAAAATCCCAACTCAATTAAAATAACCCACACAATTAGTGACCCTGAAATTCCAAAATTCCAAAGAGAATGTGTATAGCACTTCAGAAAAGTCAGGCTCAAAGCAACCCCGACGTGACGCCTCAACCCATGAACCGGCTTACTTTTTAAAAAAACTTGATTCAAAATCAATTCAAAATATGTTAAAGCAGCCAAAGCAAATATCCACAAAAGAACCTTCCAGTTTCCTCTCTGAGTTATTAATCTCCACTGAATGGTGAAGCATCATTAATGCATTTATGCATATCATTTAAGTTAACATTCCTGTATTCTTACAACATAAAGGTAAGGACCATTCAAAGCCAAGTTATAAAGAAATAAAAAAAGCAACTAAACAGATTTCGGCTTTAGCGATTCTCGGCTAAGGGCAGCAGGCAAAAGAATTCCTCAAAGGCTCAGAACATAGGACAAGAGGCATGCTTTTAAACTTCCCTTCATGGCTAAAAAAAATTGCAAACCAGAGAAATGGCCACCATCAATCATTCCAGAAAAGCTTAACACATCCATGGAATTCTAAAAATCCATCTTAGGCCAATCATGTAATATTCCCACAATCATGTTATAAAACATGTAAGATGATTAAATAGAGGGAGAAAATGATACATTAGATCAGTCCGAGAAACCCGTAAATTTTCTTTCAACGCATAACATAATTCGTAACATTTCCATTGTAACAGAGAATAGGTAAGCATGCATTTACTTCTCAGATATATCTTAATCCCAAAACTCCCCTGCTCAAGTTAGGAATTCAACCTCTAACAACGTGAAATGGCTTTCAAAAACTGCTGGGTAGCAAGATTTAAACAGGCCTCATAAAAGAATTAAACTAAACACTTCCAATCAGTCAATAAAAGTAAAGGCGACTTCCCAAATTTTGTTCATTAGCAGGACTCAAGCAAAATTTAGACAATATTTAGTTTGAATTCTCCCAGACAGCTAAAATAAAATAAAATAAGTATGAACCCTACCAATTCTTGAATTCCCCTCTTTTTTATTTTGCCCCAAATCCAAAATCAGAGTGAACCCGTTACCCAAAATGCAATTAGGAGATTCAGAAAATTTAGATACGTGAGAGCTCTAATATGAGGGGAAGAAGAGAGTGTTACCTCTTGAACGAATCAGAAAAGAACGAGCACAAAAGCTTTGGCAAAACCTCCCCCACTCACCGTAAAAATTCGGCCAGCACTCTTCCTTCAAGCTTTTTCCAAGAGAAGACAAAGCCTTCGCAGTGCCTCAAATACACACACAGAATGAAGGAACGAGACACAAAAATGGCAGCACCTCCCCCGCTCAAAACAAAATTCGGCTAACCCTAGAACTCTTCTCCAAGTGAGGTTTATATAGCAAGGGAAGAGGAGATGCATTGCCCGTCACCTGCCGGGGCGGTGAGCCGAGCCAAGGGAAGCGACAAACCTCGCGTGAGGAGATGACGAAGCTAGGTTGCAGGGGAGCATCCTCGGGTCGATTTCCCGCGCCGAAGAGGAGCTTCGGCTAAGGCGAATGCGGGAGGAAGAGGCGGACGGGTTAGGGCTCGGGTGCAAATGATTTGGGGATCGGGTGCGTGAGTTAGGGATGTAGGGCTTAAAGAGGAAAATAAATAATTTGGTTTATATAAATTTAGTATATATATATATATATATTAAATAATATGCGATTTATTCACGCGCGGCGACGTAACAAAATGGGTGTCCCCCCTAGGCAAAATCGACGTTTCGGACGTGCCGGTGCAGTCCGTTTTGTCATCCGGGGTCGCTCGGGCGACGTCGTCGACAATCGACTCAAAAACGCGTCAAAATTCAAGTTTCACAAAATTTGACCCGCGATCGATCGTCTCAAAAAGTTAATTCGAGTCTTCGACAGGTAACGGTGCAAGCGATGCGAATTGTGACGATCGGACGTGTCGACTCTCCGAATTGTGAAGTTTTGTGCGCGCGGGTGTGTGAATTGTGCAGAAGGCCACCCTAAGGCTCAAAAAGGTCCTATAGGAATTCCTTTTGGATTTCCTCATGTCGGTTTCATCCTTCTAAGTGCTAGAAGTCGATACCACACACGCGAAACTCCAAAAGGGGACAGAAGTAGGTCGAATTTCTAAAATGAGGCGGGTCCCATTTCTAAGGTTCTAAGATAGTCAAAGGGAGATCCCTAAGGCTAGATCCTAAACCCTAAGAGGAGGACTATGTATCATAAAGAAGTCAAATTAATATTTTGTGACCTCTGTTTTAAAGAGGTAGAATTAGGAAATAGGCCCACAACCTATTTTAACAAAGAGAGTTGACAAAATATTATGAAAAAGATCAAATAAATTACAGGAATGGAATAAGATAGGATGCGATTGGAAAAAAATGGAATCAATTAAAAAAAATAAAAATTTTGGAAATAATTGAAAAGAGGATCCATGAGCTTGGGTTGGGATCCGATTAAGCGAACGATTGATGCTCCAGAAGAATGATAAGTCGAGAGATTGGAGGTGAAAATTGATCAAACCTACAGAATATATATATATATATATATATATATTTCCAAATACATCAACATATACATCTCTCATTATTTTGTTGGTGGTGTCAACTACATAAAAATCCAAATTTAGTAATATTGGCCCTAAGCTAGAAGAGAAGTTGGATCGTATGTCTGGTGGAGTCGTGGCAACAAGCAATCTTGCATGGGGCCCTAGTGAGAGAGTTTTCAGGCATAGACCCCAGCCCAAACCTCAATGAAGTTGTATACACTAATCGATCAAAGCGTCCAAGTGTTGAGAAAAAGAATAAAGAGTGTGTAGTTTTTATTAGAAGTCAAATTTTACAATGAGTTACTTCATGCACCAATGGCCTTGGGACGTCATAAGCAACTTCCATCCAATAAATTATGCGCATTCTGAAGGCAACACCGGAAATTTATGAGGGCATACCGTTATTCTCCAAGAATTTTCTGAAAGACTCGACTCATAGAGAGTTCTTTATGACAATGACCCTTGATCTTAAAGTCAATTATTAGCAGTATTTTCATGAAAACAAGGACGCTTGAATTTAATTATTTCTGGTTGGACTATTTTTATTTGTTTTTCATCAGGACAATTTGGCTTTTGCTTTGGAAAGTTATTTTTCTTTGGGACACTGTTAATGTTGCTTTGGATGTTTGTTTTTTGTCGTAAAATTTGTTATTTGTTTTTCCAAGTTTATTTATAATTGTTGATTATTTAAATAATATTATGATAGTAGCTAATTTGGTGATTTTTATATGTGTTAGCTAAATAGAGTGAAATGCATATAGAGAAAAATGCAGAAGAATTGCAGCTGCGGGACTAAAATGTTTTCTGGTTACTTCGCGACAGTCACATAGCTACGGGAGACAGTTATACAGGTGTCCGAGGAGAATGACAAAAAATAATATCTTCTTTAGGTGAGCAGATGAGTTGGAGGAATCGACCGCCGATAGTAAACGGGTGTGACGAGTTTCCTTGGAGGGCGGCTTATCTCGTGGCTTAAACCAAATACATTTTAAAAACAATATTATCAATAATTCTTTTTTTAATTTAATTGTCGTGTTACTCACAGTTTTGTGATGTGTCTGCTTTTATTTTGTAACATTTGAACTAGATATTTGCTTTCAAATATAGAATGTGCTATTATAAACAGTTTTATTATAAAAAAACACTATATTGCAGAGGCAAAAAAGTTATTTGTTCAAAAACTGTTGCAGCACAGATCTTCCAAAACTGTAAAAACAAAGAGAGAGTCAGCTTCTCCGCAGTATCTTATGCACAACAGCTTTTTAATAAGTTGCAACTGCCCCAAACAAACCCTTAGTGAGATCTTATGGTGACTTCCTCACCTTTTCTTTGTCACGAAGGATTTTGGGATTTTTGTGCGAGTGGATAGGAAAAAAAGAAAGCTTTGACATGTTAGCTAAGAGCAAAAGGGGGGCAAAAATGAGCCATGTGAATTAAGTTTTTATAATTTTCAATTTAAATATTTTTATAAATCCTTCGATTTTTTGAATTAGTAATATTAAAAATAAATAAATAATATATTTAATTTAATTAATATAAATATGATATTTAGAAAATCAAGAATATATCAATAGATGTATTAAGAAACTTGATATGGCAATGCTAATAAATCCTAAAATATGATTGACATTAAAGTATAATTGTATTATAAACATAATATTAAAATTCTATGATGACAAAATAATTAACAAATAAGGACTTCAAATATAATTAACCTATTATAATAAATTTAGTTATAATTCTTTCATTCCAATTAATTATACTTATTTCCTAATCAATAATTATGCTTAAATATTTAGTTTAATTAGTTTTTAGGTAAATAGTAAAACTAATGAATCCTCTATTACACTATAATTATCTAAATCAATATTATTATCTTTTGAATTAGAAATTAATTAATTTTGATGAATCAAATTAGCTAAAAAATCTAACTGAACTACCTTAAACTTAGCAATCCTCAAATTTTTCAATCCAAATAATTATTTTAGTGAATAACTTACCGATTTGTGCTAAACTTCACACCTATTATCAACTTAATTTTCTTGCTAAGTTTCATAGTCGATAAAATTTGAAATCCTTGAAATAGCTATATGAGATAATATGGTCATTGATAGTTATGTTGAGAGTAGAATTTTTTAAGAATGATAAAGAATAAAAATCACAGCAGTTTATAATAGGGCAATACGAGTAGCAGCTGTTAAAGGTTTGATTATTGAAATTAAACTCAAGCACTTTGAGCAACGATTGCATGACTTGAAATTGAGTCAAAAATATGGGAGAAATAAAGTTGACATCTCATACAGTACTCAATAGGAATAATCAAAGAAGAAGAATTCATAAATTCAAAACTAACATGTTAAAATATAGTTGTTGATGATAGACATCTAATCTAATTAAAAAATAAATTCATATTAAATAAAGTGACCTATGTGACCATAAAAAATTTCAAGTTGTGTATTGATGATATAGAACATACATAGAAGCAGACAAATTTAAAGTCAAAAAAAGGAATGCCCTAAACTCACCACAAAGATAACATTCCTTTAGAAGATATATGAATATTGGTGGTGAAATGTGAGACAAGTTAGAGAAGGCATGTAAACATATAAATTTATCATGATCAACATGTTTATCATTTTTGTCGTTCCAACTTTCTTTGAAATGCATATTCAAAAGCATTGTACCTGAAATAAAAAAGAGAGAGAAGAATGATTAGAAGTTATAATAGATTAATAGCATAAATCGCCAGCACCACACATTAAAAAAGTATTCATAAAAAAGTAAACACAATAAGCTAAGCAAGCAACCATTTTTAGTGAATTTACAAATTGATTAAGCATGCAAAGCAATGATCCTCTCTCACTCAAGTAACATCATGCTCCATATGAATGAAGAGGCGACTACCAAATTAAAAAAAGTCACATATGCTTATCCAACAAAATGATTTAAACTGTAAGAATTGAATAACTGTAGATATGAATGAGAATTAGTCAACCATTAATTGAACCAATGCAGCCCACTTGGCTTGATGATTGGGTACTTTGTCTCCAACCACAAAGCTTATTTTCAAGGTATAGCATATTAGGATGTGGTGGTGAGGTTAAAAAAAGAAACAGAAAACCCCAATCGTACCAATGCTATCTTGATAACAACGTGAATCAAAATAACCAACACAACATTCAATATATACATTAAAAACAAATACAAGCTAGTTCACTTATCGCGCCTATATTATGAGATACTCCCTAATCAAGCACATGCTCATGCACTTGCTCACTAATAATTCTATACACTCTTAAACAATTAAAAAAAGCACAGCTTGAGCCCTCACTCACACATCTCAATGAGACGATCTGATACTGAGTTTTATTTCAGTTAACTAAATTTGATTTTAAGCTAGCTTGATTTAAGTCTGACTAGTAATTCTATTTGATTTAAGGTGAGCTCAAATTAATCCATGCTCGTAAAGCTCCACTCACTTTATTTTAATTTAATATGATGCCCAAGCCAAGCATAGGTCCAGGCTCATCACTCAACCTGCAATCAAACAGATCCAAAAAAATATCCATTTTCCAAACAATCAAGGCCAGGTCAATTTCCCAATCCACTCCAAACAACATTTTCAAGCATGAGGTTATTAAATGTCTGGTGACAATTTTTGTTATATGATTTCAAACTAGCTCAAACCAAACTAGTTATTTCAAAACATAGCTTGATGAGATCCAAAAACAATCCATTTTAAATTCTGGAAACTTCAAGTCAATTTATGAACCCTTGTTCAAAAGGATCCTTCACCCCCCACTAATGTTCAACGCTTCATATTTCTTATCTACATAGCATAAAGAAATAAGTTATACACCAAGAAAGGAAAATAAATTATAAAGAATTTTGAATAAAAACCTCGCAGCATCCAGAGATTATTTAAACATTATATCAAACATCATCTATCCTATCAAAATAATTTTCATATTGGAGAAAAGAGAACCAAAACTAGTCGTTTAATAGATGAGACTTTAAAAAGCTGAGGCAACTACTGTATCAAGAAGCATCACCGAAAAATCTTTAAGAAGCTAGAAATATCTTCAACATTTGCAGTAAGCAAAAGCAGTGGCAAAAAACATATATGACCATGAGTGGTTTTTCAAACAGACCTTTCTGCCAAAACTAAAGAAGGATTGTACATGCGAAAGTCCTGCAAGCTCCGCCAGCCAGGACAACATTTTTTCGGGAATCAAACAACCTGACTCAGAGAAATCTTCCACCAATTCAAACACAACAAAAATTTGAGCATACCAAACGCATTAGGCAGTAAATGCCATCATTCTCTGCATGAGCCTTAAATCTAAATTTCTTTACCATGATAATATAGCATCTCCAGCAACAAACAGCTTTTTATTCGTGAAAAGATTCCCACATCGACCATAGTATAATACACCCAAACAAAACAAAGTCCAGAATATAACCAATGTTGTGTTGGGATAAGACTAACGATGAACAAGAAAATAATCTAATGACAATCGTAAGCATTGCATTGTGGGTAGCCCCAAACAGCTAAATCTCAATTTGTTAAGAATTTTAAGCTTTGCATTTAAGAAATTGATAAAATACATGCATCCAATCTCACAACTTTAGCCATAGAATAAGGTTTATTTGATTTTGTTATTCATGCAATGTCAACAATGGAGAATTGTGTTTTGATGGGCGTTTGCTGGCATTATGTGCTATGCTTTCTTTGTTGTTCTGGATACGAGAAACAAACTTCATTTGCCATGTCATTATTCACATCACTACCTCAGCAAAACACAAATCTTAACACTACAAATAAATTGCTTTCCATACAAGACAGAAAGTAGTCATATATTATCAAAATAGAACACAAACAGAAACAGATTGGCACTTCTCTTCTTCCCTTATTTAAGAGCCTAAAACCATCACAGTCTATTCTATCCGATATAAACTTCAGTAAATGCTATCTACATAAAAGAGAATCAAACATTAAAATCTGTAAATTCAAGGCTATAAACTTGGGATGGAGATCAATGACAGTAAGCAATGGCTACTACTATAATGTACGCATCCACCAGTCCAAAAAATTCATGCATTACGTCATAAGCTTGATAAAACCATCATATTCACAATTGGACAAAAGATGAACCAAAATAAAGAAAAAAAATGAAGTAAATCTCATGCTCAATGGGACTTTAAAAAACGACGCCTTTAGGAGTTTCTTCAAAGTGAAGACCCGTCCCCACCACTAACACTACATCCCATGGTCCATTGTAAGATATTTCATGTGTATTCATTTTTCTAATGAAAAATATGATGGTAATGTTGTCCTTTCAGGGTTGTTAAACCTTTAAACTAACTGTTGTACGCTATCGCTTGGATTACCTCCTTCTAGATTATTATGTACCTAGTCCTCTCTCATGCAAGCATATTGCTGCCGTGCCAACAAAGGTTTTTTACAGTCACCCCAGGTGAATAGTCATTTTTAACAAATCATCATTATCTAATTGTGCTTAATGTTCCACCATTGATTCTAGGAAGTTTGGTTTCAAATTCAAGATTTTTTGGACATTCTGTACCCTGATTTCTAAGATATGGTTAAAAGAAGTTTGAAGCGCGTATGCGAAAGAAGACGTAATTTTTGTCTTAACAAAAGATTTAGAGGTCAAACAAAATAGAAGCAATGGAGTTCCACTATTTTCTTAAATAAGCAGCATTCAGGTTGTTTCTAAATCAAAGGATTTAGACTTGTTGGATTGTGATCCTCAAATGAGTAATATTACCATCTAGGACAAAAGACGTTTTGCCATGGCTGGTCCTCCTATCATGGCTGAGGTTTCCAAGCTCAAGCAAAAAGCTAAAGCTAATTGGCTCTCAAAGAGAAGGGATAACATCAAATTCCTTTATCAAATAATGAATACAAGGAAATCATCCAATTGCATTAAAATTCTCACTTATTACAATAGCTGCCTCCATTCCCTGAGATATTTCTTTTGTACCTATAAATTTCTTCAACCAGCTCTGCAACTAAACTCATAGCTAGTCTTTTACAAAATCCCTCTCAGCAGTACTATCGCGACTAAGTTTTTGGATTATATTACTAACGATAGTCTTCCTGTTGACTTTACTCTTTATAATAAATCTGTAGTTGTTGATGACATCATTGGTTGAATTATTTTGTACTAATTGAGATATGATTATTCATTATTGTACAATATCCTTCTTCAGTGCAGTGCCACAAGCAACCTTCCTAGTGACGTCAAAATTATTATCGGTGCCTTCACCCATCGATTCAAGCACTCTACTTCCATTCAAGAATAAAGATAAACCTCTCTGTACAGCTTTCTTGATAAAACTATTGTGAAGACCTTAAAACATAAATGCTAGAAAATCATTAAATTCATCACCCTTGTGTAAGAAACCTCAATTCCAGCATACTCATGGATCTTGCTTGCCACTGATAAATTTTTTTTGTCGAAAGCCTTTATTTCCCTAGCATCTGTTAACCCTATTGATAAGATTACTCTATAAGATTACATCTCTAATGCATATTTTTGCATCAATGTCAATGGCTCTTTGGAGGGTTACTTCGCTTCTTCTAGAATTCAGTTCTCAGTAGGTTGCATTTATCCTTATTTGTTTATAATTTCTATTAAAGGATTGCCATCACTTCAGAATGAAGCCAATCTTGCCAACAATATCACATGTATCAACCAGCCAAAACTTTAAAATTCACACCTTCTCTTTGCTTATTATTTTTTTCTTTTTACAAGGCAGAGTACCTCAATGTTAGTTAACCTGTCAAAGTGCTCAGCAATTACATACTGTCCCTTTGCTGAAGATTTTATTATTTTGACAAAATAATAGGCCAAAATGTTAGTATTCTCGCCATAGGAAAAAATATTAGTATTCTAGCCATAGGAAGAAAATATTAGTAATCTTTCCAAGGTGCATGACTGCTTCAATATCCCTTGTGTAATAATAGTAAAAGCCAAATGATTTTCTCCAATAGTGATGTGGAACATGATAGTCTTGCCAACATCATAAATCCCTATTGGAAACCTACCCCTAGCTTATTTACACCTCCACCAACAAAATCTATTATGATAGGCAATCTTCTTGGAAAGTTGTATCCTGGATTGTTCATCTATTTATGCTTCCCCATGCTCTGTGGTAAAATGTGTTTCTTTACTTCAATTTGGGTTTAGATGATTACCCTCTTTTGATGCCTTGAGTTATGTCCTAAGTTGGTTAAGCATTGCAAGAGGCTATTTTCCTTGGGGTTTTCTTTATCATGTTGTTGGTACATTTTCTCGGACAATGCACATTCGTTGGTTCACCACCTCTTTTTTTTTTTTTTTTTTTTTTTTTTTTTTTTTTTTTTTTGTGCTGTTATTTTTTCTTTAATGGATAGCTATTATTCTTCTTTACCTTTTTCCCTTGATCTTAATATCATGCGTTGAATCGGTTGGAATATGTATATATGGCTTTATGATATTAGACTTATAGAATGTTGTTTATTTGTTGATGCAAGTAACTTGGTAGTTACATTGACTATTTGTTGATTCATATTTTAGTCATATTAATTCTAGTTGTGTTACTATTTAACTATGAGCATGTTGTAGCCATGCTACTCATTTTCCAAGTCTGTTTTCTGTGCCCAAACTTTTGGTGTTTGTATGCTAGTGGAGCCTCTCTATTGGGTTATCCCGTTACTCCTCTGGTGTTTTGTACCTCCCACTCAATTTTTGGTTCAATTCCTCATTTCATGGGTGTGTTGGCATGATGGTGGAAGTGGTTTACGACTAGCTCTATTTTAGATATTATTTTTTTTGGATTAGGATTTCTCCAATTATGGTGGATGGCATGATGATTATGTTTTGATGGATCCCTTACTTCCCATGTTCTTCTCAAAATTCCCTGCCACAGGTTGGTTTTTTGGCATTCTGAATAATACGTTGATTTAAGCCTATTAAGTTGAATTCCTCAAGGTCATATCTCGACCACTTGGACAGTGGTGTTTTTATTTTCTTGCTTAGGTTTACTACAAATGTATTTGAGCAAATTGGTGTAGCTCAACCACTTTTACATTATTCACTTTTCTAAAAAGATTTAGTTCGGATGGTGCCCTTACTTTTTCCTTGGAAACAAAGACACCATACTCAACACTCGTCATCAGCACCTTAAGGGGGTGTCTGGTAGCATACTTTTAACAGGATTTAGGTGTTGGGTAATGTGGAGACCCGGTCCACCGAATTTAATTAGCTTCATAATTAAGTATCTCACCTACCCACCTACCGCTCACCTACCCCGCTCACCTACCACATCCCACCTACTGCTCATCTACCTCTCACCTACCTCTCACTTACCGCTCTCACGATTTCTATAAATAATCTATTTTGGTTTAATGCAAGCCAAGCAAAGCCAAGCAAGGCCAAGGAAAGCCAAACAAAGCCAAGCAAAGCCAAGCGAGGCCAAGGAAAGCCAAGCAAAGCCAAGCGAGGCCAAGGAAAGCCAAGCAAGGTCAAGCCAAGTACTCTTTAGAGCTAAGAGAAAGAGAGGAGGAGAGAGAAAGAGAAAGGAAGAGAAGAAAATAGAGATTTTCTTGTAAACGTCGAGGCGTTCGACTGTGTAATTTCTCGAAGAAATAAAATCCTGTGCAGCTCCGTGGACGTAGGCAAATTTGCAGAACCACGTAAATCTGTGTGTCGTTCTGGTGTGTTTTTTCTGCGTGCAATTTTACTCGTTCCAATTTTTCGTTTATTATCGTCGTTTTTCACAACAACTGGTATCAGAGCTTTGGTTTGGATCTAAGGAAGAACGATGGGCGGAGACGAAGTGATGACATCGGGGATCGAAAAATTCAATCACACAGATTTTGCTTACTGGATAAAGCAGATAGAGGACTACCTCTATGGGAAGAAACTTCGTCTTCCGTTACTGAGAAAACGACCAGAAAAGATGGACGAGGCGGAATGAAATCTGTTGGATCGACAGGTTATGGGGGTTATACGATTAACCCTATCGAGATCGGTTGCCCACAACGTCATCAAGGAGAGGACTATTGTAGATCTCATGGTGGTTTTATCAGGTATGTATGAAAAGCCATCGGCGAATAACAAGGTGCATCTGATGAAAAAGTTATTCAACTTGAAGATGGCGGAAGGTGTGTCTGTTGCTCAACACCTGAATGATTTCAACACTATAACAAACCAGTTGTCGTCTGTTGAAATTGATTTTGATGATGAGATACGTGCGTTGATATTGTTGGCATCATTGTCAAATAGCTGCGAAGCCATGCCATGAGGATGTGAGGATGGCAGTTAGCAGTTCTGCAGTTAAATCTTAGCTGAAATATGATGATATTCGTGATTTAATTGTGGCTGAGGAGGTGCGCAAAAAAGATTTTGGCAAGACCTCGGGTTCGAGTTCGGCACTGATTGTTGATTCCAAAGGGAGATCACAAGACAGAAACTCAAAGACAGAAACTCAAACGACAGAAACTCAAACCGTGGAAGATCAAAATCAAAGTCAGGTCAGCAGGCAACCTGTTGGAATTGTGGCAAGACTGATCACATAAAAAGGAACTGTAGGAATCCTAAGAAGAAGGAGAACGATGGCGTTAATGTTGTAACTGAAGAAATACAGGATGCACTATTTCTGGCAGTTTACAGTTCTATCGATGACTGGATACTGGATTCAAAGGCTTCCTTCCATACATCTTCCTGTCATGAGTTAATGCGAAATTATGTTGCAGGTAACTTTGGGAATGTATATCTGGTTGATGGAAAAACTTTGGACGTGGTGAGGATGGGAGACGTTGATATTGCACTCCCTGGTAAGAGCAAATGAACATTGCAAAAGGTCAGACACGTTCCTGAGTTAAAGAAAAACCTCATCTTTGTTGTTGGGCAGCTCAATGATGGTCATTCAGTGGTGTTCTCAGATAACACCTGGAAGTGGAAGGTTGTGCTCTCAGATAGCACCTGAAAGGTTACCAAATGAGCATTAGTACTGACTCGGGGTAAGAAAATTAACACACTATATATGACTACAGGTTTAATTCAGATGTGCATTATGGGTCAGATGTGCATTATGGGAAAGCAGAAGAAGGTCCATTTCCTAAAAAGTGACAGAGCGTCAAAGGCAGGAAAACCAGACCTTGTACAAACAAATGGTGGAGAAACACAGAGTTATGAAAAAATCTTGCAAGATAAGAATTCGAGCAAGAGGGAGCTGACCAAGAAGAAGGAGATGAATTCCCTACCAGGGAATCAGACTTGGGAGCTGGCAGAACTTCCACCCAGGAAAAAGGAAGAAGACATTGCACAACAAGTGAGTGTACCGGGTGAAGACTGTGTTTGGTGATAGTAAGAGGTACACAGTTGGACTTGTTGAAAAATGCTTTCAACTTAGGGTCTAGGGTCAGTAGGGGCAGGATATTGCTCATGCAGTGGGAGTTGTAAACAGATACAGGAGTAACCCAGGAAAGAGTTTGGTGGTATAAGGCTACGTTGGCGGTGATATGTCAACTGAGAATGTTACTCGTGAGAAGTTGAAGTTGTGCTCAACTTCAGTTGGTCTTCTAACATGAAGACAGGGGCTTGGGGCTTTGAGTTGCAGAGGTGGAGAGGTGGAGGATATTATGTTTGAGGAAAAGATCGGTACAGCTAGTAGATGTTGCAGCCAATAGGTGATGCATTCAGTGTCCCAACCTTCAAGTGAAAGAATTGTTGGGTAATGTGGAGATCCGGTCCACCAAATTTAATTAGCTTCCTAATTAAGTATCTCACCTACCGCTCACCTACCACACCCACCTACCGCTAACCTACTACATCCCACTCACCTACCTCCCACCTACCCCATTCGAGCAAAGCCACACGCTTTTAGTTTAATGGAAGCCAAGCAAAGCCAAGCAAGACCAAGGAAAGCTAAGTAAAGCCAAGCAAGGCCAAGGAAAGCCAAGCAAGGCCAAGGAAAGTCAAGCAAGGTCAAGCCAAGTCCTCTTTAGAGCTAAGAGAAAGAGAGGAAGAGAGAGAGAGGAAGGGAGAGAAGAAAATAGAGATTTTCTTGTAAACGTCTAGGCGCTCGACGGTGTAATTCCTATAAGAAATAAAATTCTCTGCAGCTCCGTGGACGTAGGCAAATTTACCGAACCACGTAAATTTGTGTGTCGCTCTGGTGTTTTTCTGCGTGCAATTTTACTCATTCTATTTTTCGTTTTATTGCCGTTAGGATGTAACCTAAATCCAGCCAAACACCAAAAAAAAAAAACCTAAATCCAACGCTCTGTCAAATTGAGTTTCTTCATGTTTCGTCTTATTCTACAGCCGTTCTATCTCTTTTGAGATGTAAGTATGGATTTAATCAATCAGAAAGAGAGATAGATTCAATGGATTTATGGTGTCGTTGCTTGAGACCTTCATTCTCATCACAGCTCGCCGGATTTACTAGATTTAATAAATCCTATTTAACGTAAATCCAGTGTTGTCTAGCTGAGCATGGAAACATAAGCATGGCCAAAGCCCCAAACCAGAAAACTTCATCTCAAGACCAGTATTATCCAATTCAACATGACAGCAATGTAACACGAACTTCTCTAGTTAAGTACTAAAACAGAGATGTTCAAATTTCTTGCCTAATAAATGACATGCAATCAAAAGCCCTGTCTAACATTGAAAAAAAAAGGATTATGACAGAATACAATTCAAAAATGAATATGATTTGTTACGTAAATTACATTCATCCCAGAAGCTCGATCTCAGGATTCACATTGTTAAAATACTAGCTTTCTCTAATAATACATGCATCAAACCACATCGCTATCCATCAAAGCAGATCACCTCAACATCCATCAAACATAATCAGCGCAGGTCTGTCAAAGAAAAATCCACGGCCTCGTACCCTTAAAGTCTGTCTGCAATAAAAGCGATCCCCAAAATCTCCATGTAAGCAACATCAACAAAATCGACATCTATTCAAAACAATGCTAATAAAAACGAACCCAAGAAAACAAAAATTTGGAGCACCGGAAAACGAGAGAACATTTCCTTAACGTGAGGAAATCCGTAAGAACAAGAACTCAAGACATTATTGAGGATCTACATAAGAGAGAATGTAAACTGGAAAACGAGTCTCCCCCCTCACACGAAGGAGAAGTACGGAACTTCGGTACTAAAACCCTAGTTCTTCATACTTCTAAATGTTACGTGTAAGAAGAGATAAAATGGCTAGAAATGAACCTGCGTAAAATTTCAGTTCTATCAAAGAACATTCTTTTCACTTTTGTCGGCGAGTGTGAATACCAGATTAATTATATTAAATATTTCCAAAAATGGTAAGTATTTTTAGTTCAATCAAAGGAATTGGACATCTCTTCTACCATCACAAAAAAGTTTGTCTTATATATGATCTAGAAATTTAGGATGAAATGTCATAAGCTATTTATATTTTTATTATAAGATATTTTTAGGATATATTAATTTTCATTAAATTCAACTCAATTTGAAATAATTCTTTTAGACTCGAAGATTAAATTAATCAAACATAATTATGATTCATTCATTTATTTATATTCATGAGCAAATTCATTTGCTATTTAAGATAAATTATTTAGGAAATTTTAATTAACTAAAATTTATTTAATTATACATTTAATAATAACATGCTATAATTAAATATCAATATGCATAGTAGCATGATGCCATTTTTTCTTATTTATTTATATAAATTAATTGCTTAGTATTTATTTATATTTTTGTAAGTATAATAAAACTTATTTAATTGAAAAGCTTGAATACTAATTCTTGTTTATTATCTTATTTTAATAAAGTACTAT